TAATAATAATATGTATGTGTGAGTGACACACACATATATATATATGTATATAATATATGTAATTACACATTTGAGAAGTCATGAGACAAGGATTTAAATATAAATGGATCTTTGATTTCACGGATACAAAAATGTATATCTGTGCACACGTATTTATAAATTATGCACGTTGGTATTCATGCACATCGTACGTGTTTCCGAACTTTTGTATAATATGACGTAAGCTGAAATATCATTATGATTTGAAAACAAGTAAACAATAACTGATAATGTCAACTTTGTCTGCATACCATGGTGAAAAGTCCGGACACTTTATACTCACTTAAATGACCTCATACACTTGTACTCTACATGTACGCATACACACACACTCTCACACACACACATACGCACACACACACACTCACTTTCTCACTCTCACGGTGCACACATACACACACACACACACACTCACATTCTCACTCTCACGGTGCACACACAGACACATACACAATACACATACACACACACACCCACACACAGCACACATACACTGACATACTCACTCACACTCACATACACACACACTCTCACACACACATACACACACACACACACACTCACTTTCTCACTCTCACGGTGCACACACAGACACATACACAATACACATACACACACAATCACACACACACAGCACACATACACAGACATACTCACTCACACTCACATACACACATACTCTCACACACACACATACACATGCACACACACACTCACATTCTCACTCTCACGGTGCACACACAGACACATACACAATACACATACACTCACAATCACACACACACACACACACACGGCACACACACACACACATACACACACAATCACACACACCTCACAGATAAATGAAAAAAAATAAACCTACACATCTGCACACAGACACACATAAATCCTATACGCGTTAACACACAATCACAATGGCGCACATGAAATCACACAAAAATATAATCAAACAAGATATCACATGAGTTAGGCCAATTAAGACTGTCATAATCATAAGTCTTCATAAAACAAAACGACAAAACCATAACAACTTACGCGGAAGATCGAACAAATTATAATAATACGCCCCTTTTGTCCCAAAAGTGCTGCAAGCAACAACTTAATACAACTGATGAAAATCTTCCAACAGTACTAGAAATTGGGACTCTACAGCAGAAAAAAGCAATCGACCAGCATCGACTTAATCCAGTTCTGAACATCCCAGAATGTCCAGCAGACGATCGAGAGCTGCAGCCAGCCCGTTGCCATGGTAACGTTGTCTGATAATGGTAGACGTAATAATAGAGTAATAGATCTGACCACACTCGCTGATACAGAAGGCACGCGAAAGGTGCTAAGTAGTTCGAGGTTCCCCTATCACAAAG